CTGGCACGCAAATATAACTGCCTTCACCGGCAGATGTATATGATACGGCGGCAGGCTGAAGACAATTGTCGCACTACCTCCTCTGGCAAGGTTCCTTGGTCTCCCAAATTGCAGGGCTTCTGGGATCGGTTGAGTCTCTGGAAGCTACTCCTTAAAGGACGCAAGCGATGTCGTGTGAGCTCCCGAAAGGTCCGGCGCCTGATGAAGAAGACAAGGCTGTGCACCGCGTGGAAGAAGACGACTGCTGAACTGGAAGTGGCATTGGCAGCTGAACGAAGGGCATACAAGCAAGCCAAACGTCAGGCAACCCAATTGAGACGGGACTTTCTTACGGTTCAGACAACGGATGCAAAGAAGAAGAAATGGAAATCTCAGAAGGCCCACGATAGATTCCTTCGGTTACGACGAATGAAACAACGAGAGGAGGCGAGACGCCGTCGTCGCGCCCAACAAAAAGGATCTACAGGGGGTTTACGGGCTATTCAGATGGAAGAACAATTACCAGATGGCACTCCGCAGCTGCGTACTATCACCGACCGTGCTCTGGTTGAAGAAGGTTGTATGCAAGAAAACGCGGCACGGTACGACCAGACGCGTGCTCCATATACCACTCCACCTATGGCGGAACCCTTGTATACAGCATTCACCGGCGCTCAGGCTGAAGCTAATTCCATTGCACTATTGGAAGGCCGCTACTCCCTGCCCGACCTTCTTGACCCTGCCACTACGGCCTTCCTTTCGCATTGCCGTTTTCATAAGGATCACGTACCTGTGCACCTTGAGGTGACTACCTCTGATCATGTGTACTTCTGGTCCCGAAATCCGGAGGACAAAGGTTCAAAACCTCATGGCTTGCACAACGGTCACTTCAAGGCAGCGGCCCAGTCACCAGTTATTGCCTCTTGCGACGCCCTTTTTCGCAATATTCCTTTGGCAACGGGATTCGTCCCCTCAAATTGGCGCAACTTGATGAATTTTGCAATTGAGAAAAAGGCAGGCGACTTCCGGCTGTCGAAAATGCGTACTATTCAGTTAATGAATTCGGAGGCACAGGCGAACAACAAAAAAGCGGGTCGGGCGGCCATGCAATATGCCGAGGAACACTCCTTGATTCCGGACGGACAGTGCGGTTCTCGGAAACGTCACCAGGCCATTGATCTGGCCCTGTCCAAACGTCTGGTCTGGGACTTGTTGATTCTCAAACGACGCGCGGCTGGGTGGATCTCTAATGATGCCAAATCCTGCTTCAATCGTATTGTTCATTGGGTGGCAATCATTACGATGCTCCGGTTTGGGCTGACATGGAGGATCCTATCTTCCATGTTTAACATGCTGTCATCAGCGACGCATCGGGTGCGGACAGGCTTTGGCGATTCAGAACGTACTTTCAAGCCGCCTTCTGTTATCCCCTTCCAAGGCTGTAGTCAGGGAAATGGGGCTGGACCCCCTATATGGATCTCTGTGAGCTCCGTTCTCATTACCATGATGGAAGCGATGGGTTACGGCTTTGACTGCCTCTCAGCACTGGAGTCACAGTTGGTTACAGCCCAATGCTTCTGCTTTGTCGACGACACTGACGTTATTGAGGCTGGCAATACAGTACATCACTCAGGTGAAGCTATATATGCATCGGTGCAGGAGGCCGCCACTCTGTGGGCTGGGGGAATCCGTGCCACTGGCGGTGCGATCAATCCTGAGAAGTCCTTTTGGTGGCTCATTGATTTCGAGTGGGACTCCCGCACAGGTAAATGGAAATTTCGTGGGAAAAAGGCAGTCGCTCCTGACTTTGAACTCCAAATTCAAGGTCTCTCAGGCGCTACTGAATCCTTGCGTCGCCTTGAACCAGACGACTCGGAACGCACTTTGGGAGTTATGCTTTCTCCCTTGGAAAACCTTGAGGCTCACAAGGCTCAGTTGGTTGCTAAAGCCAAGGATTGGGCAGAACAGCTTCGACCCAACCTGCTTCACAAATATGATGTCCTCCCCCTCATCAAGTCGACCATCATGAAGAAATTGGAGTATCCGATGGCGCTAACAACCCTGGATGCCCAGCAATGGACAGACATTATGTCTCCGGTACTTCAAGTGTGCCTTCCGAAGGCGGGTGTCTGTCGTAATTTCCCTGGGGATGTCGTATTTGCTCCGTTGTCCTATCAGGGTCTTGGACTTCCACATCCGTTTGGTTGTCAAGTGTTTAAGCATCTTGAGATGTTGCTCCGACATATGGCCAACAGGACCAAAACTGGTGACTATATGGAGGCCAACGTCCAAGCCCATCAACTTGAAACCGGGATGTCCTTTGGACTCTTGCAACAAGTCTACACCAACACGGCGATCCTAGCTTCAGACACGTGGATGAAACGAGTATGGCATGAACTCAAAGGTTTGGACATCTATGTCGCCTATGACTCTCCAGCCCTCTCCCATCGCCGTACGGACGACTCCCTTCTGATGGATCTCTTCATCAACTTGGAGGTTGAACAGGAGGAACTTTTATGGCTCAATTGGTGTCGAATGTTCCTCCAGGTATGCACAGTGTCTGACATTGTGACTGCTGATGGCAGGTTTATTCGTCGCTCCGCGTGGAATGGGCTCAGGGATGAGTGCTGCCGCTCGCCATACCAATGGCCAAGGACAGTTCGCCCAACAAGGCAACACTGGGACCTGTGGCAGACCACCTTGTCCAGAGCCCTGCTTGCCTCCAACGGGCCACATTACCAACTGCAACAGCCCTTGGGGCCATGGACTGACCGTCTGGAGGACTGGAATTGGTTACTGTCCCCCACCACAGGCCTTTTCCACCGCCATGGGGCAACCTGGAAACACTTTTGCTCTGAGGGCTCCCACACCACGTCACGTCGCTACGCACCAGGGCCGTCCCTTCCTTCCTGCCCATGGTGGACTGCACCGCTTCCTGCTGACGTTCTTCGTGCTACGGTTCACTCCATCACAGGATCTGACAGGGTTCTTCTCACCGGTACTGGCCGGGCCTTTGAACCGTCTGCATGTTCCTTGCTGTTCAGCTGCTTTGGCAACAGCTGAATGGGATCGTCGCACTGCAGCCTTCTCCGCGTGGCTAGTCCTGCAACTGACAGGCCCTTCCATCAAAATAGCGATCCTACAGCTTCTTCAGGGCGTTCGCACACCTCCTTCATTTCCCCCAAGGCCCATCTCCTCTTCGGTTCGGCCGTCTTCTTGGCTCAGCAGGTGATTGGGTCTCAAGGCCTTTTGGAGGGACGCATCGCCTCGTCTTGGCTTCCACTCCAACAACAATATTATGACAAGATACGATGTCAACGATCTGTCTCTCTTTGGGCGTCCCGCCTCTCACAACAGCTGATCTCCATCGGCTTCTACATGTGGGAGCAATGGAACTCCGTTCAACATTCGGATGATAACGTTCAATTATGTTAATGTCACAGTACTGTCAATGAGGGGATTCACTCACAG